CTGCGCTCAGTGGATCTGCGCTCGACAGTGCAGCCTAGGCGGAGTAGTCGAACGCAGATCCACTGAGCGCTCAACACAGACAGCATCGTCAGAAGAAAAGTTGAAATAAATTAAAAATTTTGTATTGTTCAATACATATGCATACCAAACCAAAAGCACTGTATCGAACGGTTCAATATCGACACGAGTATCGTTGCACCCCTATATATATATATATATATGGTGACCTTTTATTGGTCACCACAGGGGCTCATCTGCTTCCATCTCACCCTATTATTAGCATCCTCTTCTGTCACACCAAGTCTCTCCATGTCCTCCTTCACTACATCCATGAATCTGTGGTCTTCCTTTTTTCCTCCTGCCTGGAAGCTCTGTCTTTATTATGCTTTGTCCAGTATATCCACTCTCTCCTCTCTCTTGGCTATCTAACACCAGTCTTTTCTAATCTTGTCCATCCTGGTCATTCACCTCCAGCTCGGCCTCCTGTTTTTCTGTCAGCACCTCCATCCCCAAACCAAACATCACAGCAGGTCTCACTGCCATCTTGGAAACCTTCCCTTTCACTCTTGCAGCTGTCCTTCTGTCACACATCACCCCTGACACTCAGCTCCATCCTGCCTGCACTGTCTTCTTCATTTCTCTTGTGGACTGTCTGTTTTTTGGGTGGTTGATCCTAGCTATTTAAACTCAACCACCTTTACCAGCTCTCCTCCGTACCAACTTCATCCCAGCCTCCCCCGCCACACTTTTATTCTGCAGGATAAATTTCTCTAATCAAAGTTGAGAAAATGTGTTTCTCAGATATTTCATAGTTCAAAATTGAAGGCCATCATTTCTGCATGTGTTACTGTGATAGCCTATCAGGCACAGGGCAGGTTAATGAAGCACTTTCACAGATGCAAACACTTAGAAAGGAAAATGGGCCTTCAATGCTCCCTCGACATCAACGTTTGGGCAATTTTGACTCTCTATTATAATGATTAAATCAGTGCTGGACATAGGTTGGCTAAAGTACGTGCAAACAAACAGATGTGACTAATTAACTGATGAAGGACTCAGCCAGCTGGGTGCTCAGAAATCACATCTCCAATGTGGGAGTGATGATAAGATTTGTTATGTATCATATTATGAACCGATTCATTATCATATTTGTGTCGAGAAGAGCCTGCTAGCTAGAATCAGGTAAGCAGAGGCTCTACTGCCATTAGTTTGAAGTCATTGTTTTGCAATGTGCAGCTGTTGGAAAACTATGCCAGCTCTGATAAACGGAGGTGATAGTCTTGGAGTCATGTAATTCTCATGGAAATCGAGAGCTGGTTCCCAGCTGGAAGCAGTACTTGATTCCCATCCATTGTTGTCCTGCAAACTGTTGTCAGCAAATATCCCGTTGTGGATATCTGCAGTTGCAAAATTACTAGACATAAATCTAAAGCATCGATATCCAAACATAGTTTTTTAGCACTCATGATGTGTTTAATGACATACAGAATCATGTTTTGGATGATTCTATTGGCCGCTGCAGGTTTGGGAGAGACTTGGTGGTGCGAACATTTAGAGTAACGGAGCCCTGTTTGGGCCTTTTGGCTGTTCTGTTTCCACTGAAATCATGTGTCTCATGATGTGATGCAGTAATACTGCAACAGCTTGACTGTTCAGTTCAGTTTAAAAAAAGTGAGACAATTTAATAAGCTGCACTGCTTATAACATCCAACTACTGTATTTGGCAAATGTTAGTGTTTGATATTACAGCAGCCTGCGCTCACTGTTCTTTCACACCAAAGAAACATTTTTACATGCTATGATTACATAGAAGCTGGGGAAATCCATATTTGTGCAAATTAAGACATGTCAACATGAGCAAAACATTTGCTGCATGTATGTCCTGAAAACCCTGAAGCTAGGCGGGCAGTAAAGAGACAGGAGACAAGTGAGCAAAGTCATAGCAACTAATGTTAACATGTGAAAATATGTTTGCATAACTTGATTTAAGCTGTACTGGGTTCCCAATGCGACTGCATTCATGTGAGCAACATGAGGAGGATGTGATTACATGAAAGAAAGCTTTTTCTGAGTTTTCATAATCAGCGTTGAGCAAGACTCAGCAGTTTTGGGGGAAGCTCAGACATGCCTTAAATGGTGACTGTGTTTGTTTTCTCTAATGGCAAGAACTCAGAAAGAGGTCCTGCAGGCTGGTTTCTGCAGTAAGGGCATGCACAGAGATGCACAAAGATGCACAAAGATGCACAGAGATGCAACAGATGCAACGCTTTCCTTCAACAGAAACAAGGCCAATGTCTCCACTGAAGACATTTTTCTTTTTCTTTGAGAGAATGCAGCTGATACAGTAGCAGCACGATCAGACCACTGCATGTTTGATACCTGAAACAAAAATGATTGAATTGTGGACATCTTATACAGCTTTATCAAGAATAAATTGTCCATATCCAATATTGAAAGCCCAAGTAACAAGAATGGCAAAAGGGATTTATAATCATTATATCGAAGGTTTAAATTCACATGTATCCAGATTACTTATCCTCTTGAAAATCAATTTCCACAGTGAGACTAATAAAAATGGGATTATAGCTTCCTGTTCACGTCCACTCTGGTAAATTTCATCCACTCACTCAAACAACTGCTGGTTGTATCAGCAGTCAGCTCTCAGAGCCCTTCAGTAAATCTGCCCCGGTGCCCTGGAGAATGTCTGCGTAAACATAATCGCTGCTCCAGCTGAGTTTCTCATTACTCAACGTGACACGCTGCCTTCTCCAATGCCCACACAGAGAACAAGTGAAGTTCTTTTAAACAAAAGAGGCTTCGAGTAAGTGCAATAAACACTACAGTCTGCGGCAGCGCGATTTGCTCCACGACAAATTTGGCTGTACATGCTGAGAGTGACAGTCAGTGCAGTCACTTGTATTTTTCTAAGCCGTGCTCGGGCGTATGTTCAACACCGGCAAAGGTGGGGTTGAGACACGTACATGCATGGAGTGTAGCTCACAGAGCAGAGGATGATTCACTGCAGGTCAGCGTGAAATTGTTGGAAACACTTTTAGCTCTGGAGAAGATAACAGACTCCCATCCATCAGTTACGTCAGTGTTATTGGATATCACGTTTTCTCCGATGTCCGAGATAGTCGAGGTAATTGATGAGAAATTTTGAGAATGCACCCATGACCAATCTGGGATCTCTCCATGGACTAAGATCTCTTCATCATGAACTGAAATCCAAACCTTGTGTGAATTTCCTCTGCGTACAAGCCTCGAGAGCCAATCACCAGGCTTCTGCATTATTTTCCATTAAAATCATCTCTGTGCAGATCTCCCTGCCAATTCCAAATTATCTGCCAGTAACGTAGCATTTGCGAGTTAAAGGGATGGATTTGGTTGAGGAAGAATGGCATCAGACACTCCCTCCCTTGTTGTTGTTGAACAGGGCACAGAATCTAATCACATTTGTTTCTGTTTGTTTCCCATGACATCATATATTTGAGCGTACATAACAGCGTGTGGGGAGGAAAATCAATTAGGAGAAACAGAACGGACGCAAAATCGTCATACTTGCACCGTATGCAAGTTTCGATAATCACGTGTAATTTTATTTTGACTCGGTGTTTTTATTTCATTTCCAGCATCGCAGAGTAGCTTTGACTCACTGTTTAGAGAAGCAGGAGGTTTTACTGGAAAACGACTGGTTTAAATCACTGGAAAATGTGGGCAATGAAAGCGAGAGGCTCCGTCGTGTGAGTGTGTGGAGTCGTGTGACTGCGCGAGCTGTGGGGGTTGTGGAAAAAAAACAAAACAAAACAAAAGGACAACTTTCTTTCAGAATAAATGCAGTAATGCGACGTCCTGTATAAACACGTGCTCGGTCTGATTTTTGGAAAGACGTGTTTGAAAGCTGAGATGAATCCTTTTTTAGCTGAGATCAATCAGGAACCCTTCAGCTGAAAGAAGATCATCGTTTCCATCTGCTGTAATCTGCCCGCGTGGCTCTGCTCTTCCTAAAGTCTCATCCACATATGAAGTGATTGCTTGTTCACTTAGACTTTAGAACATCATTATATATGTTGTGCTTGTATTTCTCACCTCATCACATGCCAGTCAGTGGTATCAATTTCTCCTGTTGGCAGTTGCTTCAGTTGCTTCCCTCAAAGTTGAGTAGAACATATCTCAGGGTGTGCTCTCTTCTCATTGGTCAGTGTTACTCTGACTCATCTCTGCAACTTGGTGAATTTCAATGACATTCCAGGGTCTGTGGTCATTGAACGGTTGCTAGTCTTCTTCTTTCTGAACACCCCTCAATGCGCCTTTTACGGTCCTGCGTCAGTTTGTCTTTGTCTACACAAAGGGATTGTGGGAATTCAGCCCATGCAGAGACGAGCTTGGTGGAAGCCAACGATTCATCCCGTTATGGTGAGAGAGTTAAGTGTGGGTCAAATGCTCATGGTTGGAAAAGTTGGCTTGAAAAGGGGAACAAAGATGAAGCATCAAGGATCAAAAAAGTTTTTAACACTTGGCCTCACTCCACTTCAGATGAGATCTTTTTATATTCCCCAGAGCTAAACACCAACAACAGCACAAACACAAAGAAGAGGAGCCCATGTTGCAGGTTCCTGTATTTATTTCGTTACTACCCCCCTGGCTGCAGTTAAGAGCTATAGAAAAGCTATGGCAACAAGCCATGCGTGGAGAGCTGCAACAAGAGCCCCAGTAGATGACAGAGCATGCATGGCAGCAGACGTGACATTAAGTCAGACAATTACAAGGAGAAGCTGTGCAGCAGGCTGAAACAGGTTACATGTATATGAGATCTGAAGGGTATGATCTGAGCAAGCCAATACCGTGATTGTGGTGTATATCTATAAAGGAACTAACTATTTCAGTTTGAAACCAAATCAAAAGATATATAAATGTTGGAAAAGGCTAATGTTTTACAGTTTGCCCTTTGACCTTTCAGACTGTGACGATAAACACTGGGGAGCGAACTGCAAGCAGCAGTGCAAGTGTGAGAACGGAGCTCTCTGCGACCCTGTGAAGGGATCATGTCGCTGTCCTCCAGGGTTTAATGGACGCTACTGCGAAGAGTCGTGTCCAGCAGGCACGTTTGGGAAGCGCTGCCTGCAGAGGTGCAAGTGTGCAACCGGAGGATCCTGCGATAAAGCAACGGGAGAGTGCGTTTGTCGGGATGGATTCACAGGGACTTAGTAAGTCCAAACAAACAAAACAGCTTAGCATATCTAAAATCCAACACTGACTTTGTAAAAAGTGATAAAAATTTACAGGTTTTGGCAATGTTTCTCTATGAAGAACTTTTCAGTTTCATTCAAAATCTGACTCTTGGGTGAGATTTGCATGAGACCACCTCACAGAGACCGCAGCTGTGCAAGCACGATGATGACGACATTAACCATATTCACCAGCTAACGCTAACATTTTCTTAGCAGCCGAGTCTGTACTTTGTATATGTATATTTTGCATACTTTGACAATTATCTCACAAATTCTGGCCCCATGATGGTGCTGGATTAAAACTCGAAGGGTAGGCAGTTATTTCACATTTCTGCTTGGGGAATAAATACTGAAAGCACATCTAAAGTCTGTGAGTAACCTTGTGGTGACACTAGAAGAAATGTTAGTAGATGATTGTTAGGAATGTAAGGTACAAAAATCGACTGAAATCTGATGGAAAACTATGGTCAGATTCTTGATTAATCCTAAGAGTCGAAGCAGATATTCATCCTAATGTGCTGAAAGCGTCTGGTGAGCAAAAGTAAGATCACACTAGACATTTGTGGGACTATATTTAGAGATTTATACCTTGTTAGCAGTTGTGTTAGCAGTAACCAAGAAGTTAATCAAATCCGAATGATGCCTGACACACTAATTAGAAATGCTGAAGAGATGCAGACCAAAATAGCTCCGACCCCTCAGGCCCTGGACCTCTGTGAGGCGTTTGCAGCAGCTTCTTTGGGTCCCGTTTATTATGGAGGTGCGGTGGGATGGATTTAGGATTGGGAAGCCATGAGTGCCTGTATAAAATTAGATTGCAATCCATCTAACAGTTCGGATATTTTAGCAGCCTTCTGCGAGTCGCTCTTGCTAAAAGTTAACAGAGTATTTTCCTTTTCATTAGGAGCCGTTTTTAGAATATTGTACTTTGTTAGTTATTTCTTTTGGGAGACATTTAATACAGCACTTGATTAGACCCTACTTAATTACCCGAATGTTCTCCAGAGGTATGTTAGACCCTCATCTTCCTCTTTGCTGATCCATCTTTTTATTTGTTTCCGTGAGTTAATTGGAAGATTGAAAAGAGACCCCGATGGTCTACTCTGTACTCCATGAGTCATCTGTTAGGCCCTGTTTTTTAGATGCCCCTGAGGATGAGTAAGCAGTAAAAACATTTCCCCACTACACATTAGTGGAAACTCTCATTCTGCCAATGTGAAAGCACAACACTCCACTTTGAGCTAAATAAAAAAGGCGGCTTGGTAACAGTGATTAGGGGATAAATCTGGGTCAATGATTGTGTATATTTGTAGCGTTTTCATATCATCCGTTTTAGAAAATGTAATATCCTTGCGATGGTTGTAATCTCAGATGTGATTGGTTAAAGACACATTCCACCTCCTCTGATGATTCCTTGCATTACCGGAAGAGGAATTGATGCATCATCTTGATTCTTTTTACATATTCAGCTACTTTTAGACATAAAAACTGCAGAAAAAATTCAAAAATGTTTTTCTGTATTTTCACAACTTGTTACAACAAAAGTACGCAGAACAACATTTCAGACGCTGAGCCTTGAAACACATGGGCTGCAGCAGCAGAAGACCACACCGGATGCGGCTCCTGTCAGCTAAAAACAGGAAACTGACCCAACAAAATCAGATGACAACAGTTTGGGAATATTAACTGGTCTAATTAGTCTCAGTTTGTGTTGTGACATTTGGATGGCAGGGTCACAGTTTGGTGTAAACAACATGAAAGCATGGATCCATCTTGCTTTGCATCAAAGCTTCGGCTTGTTGTTGATTTTGTAATGATGTGCTGGATATTTTCTTGTCACACTTTGAGGCCCTTAGCATCGAGTAAACAGTCTAGCTGAGTATAGATGAATATTTATGAGCACAGTGCAACCTTTTTTTGACGACTGCTTCCGGCAGGATAGTGCACCATGTAACAAAGCTCAGGTTATACTGAGCAGCTTTTATTTAGCTTAACAACGTTTAAATGATCCCCAGATCTGAATCTAATAGAGCATCTTTGGGATGCAGAGAAACGGGAGATTTAAATCATGGATGTGCAGCTGACAAAACCACAATATAAATAACATGCCGGCAAAGTGGTTCTTTTCTACGGAGCCCCGCAGGGCACATGGGAGAAACAAAATTAAGACGGACTTTTGCGGGATCTCGCAAAAGTTTTAGCCGCATTCTTCCCGTTAGCTCGAAGCTAACGGGAGGTCGAGACCTACTACAGCCGGGAGGAACACCGCTTTCCCGGCACATCGTGCCTCGACCTCCTGGTCGGCTTCGAGCCAGCGTCCGAAGAATGCGGCTAAAACGTTTGCGAGATCTCGCAAAAGTTTTGCGAGATCCCGAGTTTGTTTTGCGAGATCTCGCAAAAGTTTTGCGAGATCCCGAGTTTGTTTTGCGAGATCCCGAGTTAGTTTTGCGAGATCTCGCAAAAGTCCGTCTTAATTTTTTTTCTCCCATGTCCCCTGCGGGGCTCCGTACTTTTCTTTAAGTTGAAAAGAAACTTAAAGAAAAGAAAAAAAATATTCACCAAGATTAAAGAAAAAAAAGCTGGAACCATAAGTCCAAGTGAACGACGCCCTTTAACCCATTTCCGGTGAAATTTGCCAGACGGCAGAAGGTCCTATAGCTTGTGAAATATATGTTTTTTCTTTATTGAGCATCAATCAGTTTTTCAAAAGGATGAATAAACTTTTGAAAAACTTTTTCATCTCAGTTCTTCCACATTCATGGAGTCTGCAAGTCCACCCTGGAAGGTTTAAAGATTGATTAGGTTTATTTTGAACTACGTAATATTCAACACCGCTCTACTATTTTTATTTTTAATGGAGCTGAAAATGAGTACCAATAATGTACCAACACAAATGCAGTCTTTTGTGGCTAAAAGCAGTTAATTGCAGTCAGGAGACATTAAGCCATCTTTTTTCTCCCCCCAGCTGTGAGACCTCGTGTAGGAGGAAATGCCAGGCGCGATGCCCGTGCCAGAATGGTGGCATCTGTAAAGGCAAAGGGATCTGCGCTTGCCCACCTGGATGGACGGTATATTTTGAGGCTTTTAACTCGCACTTTTCTGTTACTCGTGCAGGTTGCCAGGTTTGAAATTAGCTCGTGTTTCATGTTCCAGCTGGCTTCGAATTCTGGAAAAACAGTCACTTTTTTGTAACACTGACATTTTGAAAGGATGCACTTGCATGACTTGCACATGTTGTTCTGATTGCGAGCCCATCTGACAGCACATTATTTTAGTCCATATTTTTGCAATAATGCATCTATATCTATTTGTCTTTTTTGTTTTTCTGTGTGCTTAATGATTTTTCCTTTCTGCTGTTCAGGGTCCAGTCTGTACCGAGCGATGTCCAGAAGGAAGGTTTGGGCCAAACTGTACTGAGGAGTGTGTTTGCCACAACAACGGAAAATGTGACGCTGAAACTGGACAGTGTCAGTGTGCTAAAGGTTTCACTGGTCACAGGTAAGCAAGTGAAAGTGGATCTTTGGACGGCATGTGGTTGTTTCCGCCTTTTCTTGCTTCTCCTGTGCAGGTTTCTCTCCAGTATGCTTAGCGGTGCCACGTCTAATGTTTGGATTAGTCACAGACAGAGAAAAGTTGTCTCCTCGACATTTGACTGGAGAAAGCATTTTAAATTGTTTTGGCACTGTCATCCATTTTTTTTGTCTTCAAATTAAAAGCCTGGTTATGATTTCTTGTAAGTGAACAGGAGTAATTTGAGCATGTTTTTCTCCACAATTCAGGCAAAACCAAACAGCAGAGGCACAGGAATGCAGAACGTTTAGATTTGGTTTGTGCATACTGTGCTCAAACACACATTTGTATATTTTATCACCAGCTTTTTTCTGTCTGTGTGTTTTCCCGCATTAAGGTGTAAGGAGGAGTGTGCTGCAGGTAGTTACGGACAGGACTGTAAAGGCGTGTGCGACTGTGCTAACGGCGCGCGCTGCTACAACATCGATGGAGCCTGTCTGTGCGAGCCGGGCTTCAGCGGTCCGCACTGCAGGGACAGGATGTGCCCAGACGGCATATATGGCATGCACTGTGAGCGCACGTGTCTCTGCCAGGACAAACACACACTCAGGTAAGAGCAGCTTTTACGTGAGTCTGGCAAAAGCTTCATTTACTGCTTTGAATAGTGATGCATGCAGTGTGAACTGAAACATGAAGTTGAGTTGTTTTTCTTGTAATTTGAATTCACATATTTGACGCTTTATGTTGCGCTGTTTAACCAAAGGGTGTTTGTTCCTGCCTTTTAATAACGTTGTAGGTTTTACAGGACACACAGTTTTATTAATTATATAGTTTGTGTTCACAACACTCTCAGATATTTCTCAAAAAAATTCTGAACAATAATATTATAATAACTGGTTCATAAATATGTGTTATTTACTTTATCTGCATAGTATTGCACCATTTTAACTGTGGCTGATGGCATGTTATTTATTTTATCCAATCATCCATCCATCAGTGCGCATATGAAGCCAGAAAGCCACGTTTTCCAAGTCCTTCTGAGGGATCCTTCCCAGACCAAATCAGATCTCCTATAATAATCTTGTCTATTCCAGGATCTTCATCCAGTTAGGTTTACCTGGATGTTATCATATCGTATCATAATGTTGCAGCACAAAATGTAATTAAAGAGCTGCTTTAAGCACACAGCCACAGATGTTTTCATTTCTCAGGCCTTTGTGGGCATCACGGAGCCTGATTAACATCTTGTGCTGCAGTGGCTCCATCAACCCTAAAGTCAACCAATGAGTTTATTCTCCAGCTCTCTTTCAAAAATGGCAAAATTATTTCTTTAAAGTGGTTTCATGCCCCTCTGCAGTATGAAGACAAGTACTGAAGTACATGTAGACAGGCGCTGACTGTGGGTTTTCTTTGGCGTTAGCTCCTCTGTTTCTCGCTGCTCCATTCATATTTATGTCTGTTTACACTCTCCAGCTGCCATCCAATGAAAGGAGAGTGCACATGCCAACCGGGCTGGGCGGGACTATACTGCAATGAGACCTGCGCTCATGGTTTCTATGGTCATGGCTGCCTGGAGCCGTGTCTTTGTGTGAATGGAGGGGTGTGTGATGGCGCCACAGGACGATGCCATTGCGCCCCGGGCTTCACGGTCAGTGGTAGAGTAGATTAACGACTCATGACTCACTTTCTATACCTGTTGTGTCTTCATGTAAACCAAACTTCGGGGGTTACTGCAGGGGCTTCACTGTGAAAATCCCTGTAAAAGTGGCACCTATGGCAAGAACTGCTCCCTGGAGTGCTCCTGTAAGAACTATGTGGACTGCTCACCGATTGATGGAACTTGTTTCTGCAAAGAAGGTGATGAATAATCAGAGGACAATGAGTACAATCATGAAGGAAAACTGGCCAAAAGGAAAACAAAGACTTACAGTTGATTGTGGGTCTGCAGGCTGGCGAGGACCGGACTGCTCCATCCCCTGCTCCGAAGGAACCTGGGGTCCAGGATGCAATGCCACGTGTCACTGTGCCAACGGAGCAAAATGCAACCCTGCAGATGGATCCTGCACCTGCACGGCTGGCTGGCAGGGGGCACGCTGTGACCAACCGTGCCCGGTGAGTATCTGGAGATACTGGCAGGAGTTATATATAATATTTACCCCTGAAGTTGTAAAAGATGTTGGAAAACCAGGTATTAAAAGATTCATCCTTTTACAAGACAACGAGGAGCGCTGTTTTGTGACACGTCTGTCCTATGCAGCAGTGTCTTTAGTCTCAGACAGTTTTCTCTGTAGGGCGACAATAAGTATTATAAAGAAACAGATGTCACTTTGTAACATAAACGCTCTCCAAGATAAGAAGTCTGGTCTGTGTTTAGTCCATGTCACACTGATGAGACGAATGACATCTTTGATAAGACTAACACTCAAATAATTCTACGGGTTGTCTGTTTTCTGATTAGTCAGCCTGTAGAAGTGTCCAGCTTCGAATCCCTTACCTCGCCCTCTGTATGCTTCAATCTGCATTTTGGAAAAGTACCCCTCTTGTCTTTGCGATGCCAGCCCACCAGGCTGTCTACACAACATCACATTGCCAGTGTAGTATTTTGTCTCACTCTGACTGGGCTGGCCGAATGTGGAGGAGATTCCCCTGACAGTTCTTTGCCCGTTGGCACTTGTTCA